ATATTCGTATAATATTAAAATTGAATATCAATTAATTCTTTAAATTCTCATATGATTTGGAAAGAAAATTATTCTTGTTTACCAACATTTCCAATATAAGCTAAATCTCTCTCTCTCTCTCTCTCTCAAACATAGATGTATTTAAACTTACTGTTGACCCTCAGCTTATCAGTAGCGACGACAACATTTTTATCACTAACTAAGAACAGTAGCCTTCCGTCAGGACTCTTGACGACAAATTGATTTGCAATACCATTGACTCTATCGTTGGCCACAAATAATCGATTTGATAATACATTGCTATTACTATTTGTATGTCTGGCATTCATTATAATGCTATTATCCGATTGTATTCTAAGGCTCTGATCCTAAAATGAAATTGAAATATAAAAATATTAAATTTTTTACATAAAAATATATATTTTTTATATAAAGCATTAAATAATTTTTACGACTATACTATCTATTGTACTGTAAGGTATATAATGCTTATGTCAGTATACAGTGTATACTGAAATCCATTATCATTTCAATAATCCGATAATAAATATAATAATATTTAGTGACAAAAACTATTTTCTCGTTTTTATTTTTTATATGTGATTCAAAACGTAATAAATAAAGCTATTTATTGAATCAAATACTGTTTTAGTGTTTATGTCATAAATGATAAATATTTGATGAGTTTCGCTCAAACCTATGGATAATTCAAATGAATGACATATTAGGAGTCATTTGATGTAAAAGTTATATAAATATGTATTACTTTATCTATTATTCAAATAGACTTTAAAATTTTATATAAATGACAAATATAACATAAAAAGTACACAAATTTGTGTTAAGATTATAAACATAAATTACCATAACATAACTTATAAACAGCAAAATTAGTTTATTGTACAGAATATTCTCTATGAGAATATGAATTGCATCTAAAATTCATGTATTGATAAAGCATTTAGTGAATGAAAGCTACAATTCCTGTTATGATGAGTAGCACTCATATAAAGCAATTGGAAGTCAACATCAATATTACTTCTCAAAAAACTATATCATAAATACATTTGTAATAAAAAAGTATCCAAAAGAGAAAATAAAAGAAAAATGATATTCAATTTCAAAAACAAAATATTAAATGCACATGTTTGCTTTTACAATATTTGTTGCCATTTCTTTATGCATTCAGTGGTGTATATCTATAATATATATTCTATAAGAATATTCATATGTTTTAAGTTATTAGAAATGCACTAAACATTTATCTTATATTTTAGTATTGAGTGCAAAATAAGTGGTTTGATGTTTAATAATTCAATAGATTTAAATTGAAATATAATTTAGAAATATTCAAATGATTTATATTTGGCATTTTGTTAACTGACATACCGTCTGGAAATAGTGTTATGTGTAATAAAATTACAAAATATGAATGAAATTCCATAAACATGGTATACCTGTGTTGAGCGAATAGCACCTGCATAGACGTTATCCAGAAGTAAGGCCTCTCCCGACAACTGTAAACCAGTTGACTGTATCCTAAGCTTTCCGATGCCCTCCTATTAAATCGTTGTTTCGTTCAAATAAAAAATATTTGATTAAAATTATGTGATTTTTTGTGAAAATTTTCAGAAATATTTTTAGAATTTTTAATTCCTAGTATGAAAGAAACTACTTTTGGGAATTATAATGCATTACCATTAACTGCAGACTTATATCTAATATATTTGGTCTCTTTACTTATAATTTCTGTTTTGATTACCAGACATAGAATATTCTGTCAATATATCTGTAGTATTGCTTTCACTAATAATTAGTGTGATATTAAATTTTAATTGAAAATTTTTATCACATTTATTATTGTTAAAAATCAAAAATATATAACTCATATAACTTTATATATGCGTTGAATTTAATGTGAATCAAGTTATGTTTGAATGAGAACTTCAATTAATTCATCAGTTGTTTAATGGATTGAAAGCCTATTAAAACTCATGAGTTTTATATAATTGACTTTAAATCTACAGATAATGAAAAGTAAATTAAAGATTTATTTAATAAGACATTCCCTAATAGTTCCGGGTTTACATGAATAAACTTTTCCCAACTTATATACACAGAAATATATCTTAATGTCTAGAAATTCAAACAAAATTACATTAAAGAATTTGAAAAATTAAATAAATCATTGCCTCTAAACCATTAATTAATTGAAATAATATGGGAATTAAAATATTGGAATTTTACGAATAGTTTTAATCTAAAAACCTTATAAAAAATCTCAGTAGAAATCTATATATAGTAATACTTGTAATAAGATTGTGATATTCAAAGGGAAGAATGACAATTAGATTGTGATTGAAATCTGCATACCATTGAGAAGCTGAGGACAGCGATGATCCATAGGGTTAGGGCTGCGTTGATGACAACGGCCACCGTTACTAACAATACGAAAAAATATAAACATTTCTTTCTCCAGCCGTAAAATCCAATTTCGTGAACACGTATTGAATTTAAATGATTGGCCGAAACATTGCGCTCATCGCTTGGGTTGGCAAACGTCTCGCAGTTTTGTTGCTCACAATTGTTGTCTAATATTTGGCGATTAATTGGGAATTCATTGAATTCATTGCCATTATGTATAATATTGGGCACCGAATGCATTGAATAGTGTTCTGTTGGCACAAAATCCTCAATAATATCGTCGTTTCGGATCATTTTCTATGCGTATATCACTGTATTTCTCAATCGTCTCCTTCACTGTTGCTTATAGTGCTGTGTATTCTCTGAACAACACTTGAAAAGTATGTGAAGAGTGAGAGGAAGAAGAGAACAGCTTCTGAGGGCAACTCTCGGAGAGGAATAATAAGAAGGTATCTGTAGTGAGGAATGAAAGGCAAAAGAATTCATTGATTGCTTCACTGGTTCTCAATTTAAAAACTTATACACAGTTAGAGATAGCGAAGTGAATGGATGTGTAAATGTATTGCTAAACACGGCTCTAAACTCGTAAGAAGTGTATAATTTGAAAATTATATCATATATTCTTTATTATATACAATATATTCAGGGAATAGTAATATTGGCGTTCAGTTTTCAAATCAAATTTTGTTTCTATTGTAATATATATTTATACCATTTATTCAGCCATTCATTCAAAACATAAAATTAAGAAAAATAGAGAAATCACATTAAATTGGTTGAAAAAATATCACTCTTTTACACACCGTTAATGAATTGGACCACAAATTAAAGCCTTATTTTCAACACTTTAATAATGCGTTTAATTAATCCCTCCTTTGGGTCTCATTAAAAGGGGACTATTATATAACTCATGAATGTAAAACTGTTTGGCTCTCTCTCCCTCTCTCTCCTCTTTTTGAGCTCATGTATGCACTCGACTCTAAACATTGAAAGGAAAAGTTTGTCCCTATATTTAGCTGTGTTTAGCATTTATTATGTGGTCTTTGAAACACTACCACAACTTTATATTGTATAACACATTAAATCCTTTTGTTCAACAAATAAGGCATAATGTGTTTGTCTCTCATATAATAGAAACCCAACTAATTCACAGATTCCTGCGATTCTGTCGCTCTATATATACACGTCTCGGCATATATTGAGCTTAATATACAGTGAGTACAGAGACATAGACGTCGGTCTTCTGTAAAATCTGATTAAAACATTGAAACAAAAGCTTAAATACAAGACGTCTCGTTAGCGGAGAGAGAGAGAGAGAGAGAGAGAGAGAGACTTCTTATTTAATCAATCGATCGTTAATTCAATTCATTTTCAGTGTTTCTCTTCAATCGTAACGTCGAGAGTAAATACAAAACTTGTAACTAATGTTATGTTCGGAGTCTTTA